ATTAACGCTAGTTTGAGTCTAAATAAATCCTTAATTCACTGAGTCAGATGTGAAGATAGCTGAAAAATAGCTGCTAATTAGATAATTCTCTGGAACAAATGTGCCAAAGTCCGTTGTTGTTGCTATATTAATGTTTGTTCTCATAGCTGGAGGGTCTGATAGATGATGCGGACAGTTTCACCCGCCTAATTTCTGCACATATTTATCATTTTCATGCAGGAAACCTCTGCGCACATAAAAAAAATGCTTTAAAGAAGCAACATTTCAGTCACAGACCTTCATAAGGCATTGTACTATTTTGTATCTAGACTGGATAAACTTTAGAGGAAGCATTGGGATCACTGTCAAACACAAATTCAATCACTGGCCCTTAAAGTGAGGAATACATTTACCAAAGAAATGAATGAATAAATACACAAAACTGAACAATTCAATTCAAATATTGATTACAGTGATGCGCAATGATCACTAACCTACAAATACATCAGTGAAACCTTGACCACAACATCATATTTACATTTGTTTTAGATTACTCACGTACATGAGCAATGAGTTCATTTAAACAGTGTGTACCCCATAAACATTTGGGTGAATAACGAGTTGCACCATCACGGGCTGCAGATGTTATCACAAAAGAATGCATGAGGTAATATGATCAAACTATAATCTCATGGCCTCCCTATCAAACTTCAAATCGCTGGCATCCCTCCTCCTCGCCCCCTCACCTTTATTCCATTCCCTCCTCTGTGATACTCTATCCAACAGCTTTACTGTCAGCGCTCTGCTCTTACATTCTTCTATTACAATCAGAGAAGCCCAACAAGCTCATTAAAATTCCTGCTTGTAAGACCATGCTAGAGCGGGAGAGAAGGCCAGTGGGCCTGACACTGGCATTCACCCTCTTTTGAGGACAAGGGAGCTGCACAGGTCGCTCATGTGCACGGCCTTGTTTTCAGAGTGGGCACTCAGGCATGATGCAAGCACAGAGAGAGACAATAGGTGGCAGCACCTCGAGCCCTGGAACCAACCGGGCCTGACAATCCTCCTGTGAGTCAGTCTCTTTTCATCCTCTTCGTCTATCCACCCCGCTTTGTCTCCGCTGCTGAACAGTGGCTCAGTAGTTTGAACTGAGTTTACATGTGATTCCCATGTTTTCGGGAAGACCAGGCAGGTCTCTCACACATGCCTCCAAGACTCTCTTTGTGCATGGGGGGTGCAATATAGGGATGAGCAAGTAATGGGGAAAGAATGAATGAATGAGGGTGGAGGCCATGAAGGGATGCAGCCTCATACTGAGGGATTGTGTGCTATCATTTCATTTCAGTCCCATTCAACCCAACTTCCAACAAACATCAACGCCGGTTTGAGTAAAAACAAACCTTAATTCAGAAAGTCAGATGTTGACATAGCTGTGAAACAACGTTAGCTGGTCCTTGGACACAAATGCTAACAGTGGTTGTTATTGTCAGTGTCTGACAGCATTATGGAAAGGATCCCTACAGAGATAGACCTTTAGTTTAACCACAAACAGCCGTAATATCACTATCAGCTCTCCACCAGACCTCCAGAGACACAAACACTCATTTTACCTTGTAGCATAGCAAACTTAATCAAAGTGGACAGAAACAGAATAAAACTGATTAAAACCGTCTCTGTTAGTGTTTCCAACAATCACCAACTCTCTGGTTTGGTGGAATAAATCCTTAATTCACCGACGTAGATGATAAAAACAGCAGTTTTCAGTCGGAGCAGACCGGCTATGGAAACAAACCACAGAGAGGCTGCGATACAACACAGGCAGAGGGAGAGAGACACCATGTGACTCTGTAAAAGTTCTAAAAATAATAATAGAATAATAAATAAATAAAAGTTTTTTATTCGACCCAACTCGACCAAACTTCAGAAGGAAATTATGCACTTTTTGCTCCACTACATTTATCCAACAAAACACATAATGAGTTAATAAGACATTGTTATGAACTGACTAACAGCAGGTAACACTGTATTTGGATAGTCCACCCACAGATTTAGGCAGTGTTTATTCGAGATTCAACAATTTAACTTCCACAAACAAAACCATTTCCTTATATTCCATCACTGTGGTTAAGTTTAGGCAAAAAAAAAAATTTAGGTTTTAGACTTGTTGTATGTTCATGAATTGTCACATATACTCTATAGACAAGGTAGGCCGATTATCAGAATAAAGTGTTACCCAGCAGTGGTTAAAATGACCTCCACAGCTGTAAGATTAAAATGCACAATAGCCCAAGATAATAACCCAATAATATTAATAAATGTAACATAACACATCTTAAAGAGGCCGTTTTGTGATATCAGTACTTTTACTTTTGATACTTTAAGTGCAACTTTTAGTAAAAGGTTGGCTTTGTCAGTGAGTGTAATGAGAATGAGAAAATTAATTACATAATTAAAATATTCTCCTTTATATGATAATGTGTAGTAACTGCAGAACAAGATGATTTTTTTGTTTGAAGATGCTGAATTAATGAGAAGACGCGATGAAACGGACATCTTTAGAGACATGTACATATAGTGTAGTTACCTTAACAATAAATACCTTAATTACTTTGACTCAAATCAAATATCTTTCAGTTAATGAACTTAACTCGGCTTCCTCAAAATGTTTGAGTTGAACTAACTCATCAGGTTTTACAGTGTATGTCTGTAACAGTAACAGATTACATGTAACTGAGTTATGTAATCTAGATATACAACAAAAATGTAACTGTGATTCATTAGAGTTACAGAAAAAAAGAATTATATCAGTCTGCTGTCTTTTAGAAAAACAAACAAGAGAAGAGAAAAATCAATAAAATAACTTTATATATATATCTTTATTTGCATATTTGGAGTTGAAGTAATCCGAAAGTAATGGAAAGTAATCAAGTTACTTGTGACGGATTAGGTTACTGACTACATTTTAACAGGTAGTTAGTAACTGTATCAGATTACATGATTAAAGTAACCCTCCCAACACTATAATACTTATGGATCATACATTAAAAATAATAATTGAATACTTAAACTAAAGAAATCGACGCAGCAAAAAAAAATTAATTCTATGAATGAATATAATAAATATACAATAATAATAAATATACAATAAATATATTTTTTCTCTTTAAACATCTCAAAAAATATTAAATGCAAATAAAATGCATTTAGCATATTCAGCATTTACACTTCATCAATCAGCCTTTTCTATTATTTAATAAACTGAGTCAGTGACATATTTTATGGATATTTCAATCAAAACTGTACGATGAACCCAAACAGGAAGAAAGTTTGTGTAAAACCAGAGATTTTGATTCATTCTGAGCAGATTTTTTCCTGTTTAGGGAACTTTTTATACAATTCTGTCTATTTTGTTAGAATTTTACAGACTTAATTTTTTTTTTGGACAAATTCAGTATTTTCTTGTCCCTGGAGCTTGCCGTTGTTCTGTTAGACCATGTATTTTACTTTTCTTCACAGAAGTGAACCAGCTGCTGGGTTGTAGGCCTACTGTGTATATTTGTAAAGTTTTCTTACACTCATAAAAATCAAGAAGGCCTCACAACCCCCCTGTGAAGCTTTGGCGACCCCTAGTGGGGGTCCCGAACGCCAAATTGGGAACCACTGATCTAATTATACATTATTTTCAAATGTAATCTGGGTTGATTGTAGTTATTTACTTTTTGCAATCTGATCAAGTAATCCTGAGTACATGTAATCAGTTACACTGCTGTCACGTGGGCTGGACTGTTTCAGCAGTATGACAGAAATAAAGAAGTCATTCACTGATACATCTCCTGTGCTCTCTCTAAAGTAAAATGCAGAACTTTGACCTCTGATGGAACTTTTTTACGAGGTGGCGGTGGTATTCTGATGCAAACTGCTCCCGGGGCCCCAGAACACCAAGGGCCCTGAGAGCTTCAGTCTTACTCTGATTCCACTGGTTTGTGCAGATTTAATAGGAAAAGTGAAAGTGAAAAGTAAAAAAGAAAGTGGCACAATAAAGACTTTTAGGTGGGGTCCTGCTTCATGATCTAATCTTGGCAGGGCTGAACTGTGTCCAAACCTAGATTTAAGACCTTCATCATTGCACTTTTTGGATGCTGTATATTCATAAATAAATGTTGAATAATAAAATCACAGTTTTATTCCAGCGTAGAGAAACTGCACACACGGCGCACAGAGTGGGAGGAAAGATAGGTTCCTTTCCTTTCTTCTCTTTACTTCTACATTTTCATTTAGCTTTAAAAAAACAAGAAGACTTAATGAGCGTTTAAATGCACTGGCACGGACAGGGTTACTTTAGGTGATATCTACATGAATCACATAATAAATGCTGTTTGTCCGCAACCTATCACCGCCCGCTCCACCGCTGCCCCCGCTGCTCTGCTCAATAAAAGCTTCCAACCAACATGAAAAAGCCTGCATGGGAATAAACAGGGCATGAATTATAAAGATTGTTTGCTGTCTACTTTTTGAATCAACACACTGTAACTATAGGCTCTGGATGGATTTGTTGGTAAATGTGAGTTTCATGATCTTAGAGTGCCTTGATTATCGGTCGACCCACTCAGAGTCACTGCTCCTGGAGGAACAAAACACAATTAGGGCTTCATGCGCTCTTTTTCCAGCTGCAGGAAACTTGATGAGACAATGTCACCATAAAGCTGCTTTCTGGAGCGCCAACTGATGCACATGTGTGTGTATGTGGAGTGTGACACCTCCTGCACCTCCCGGACGAAACTGGCTCTGATTCTTAACTGTAAATCCCGTGAAAAATCCAACAATAAATGAAACTTTATCTTAACCCCCCCCCCTCTCCCGGTCTACAACTGCTGGATAGAGTTAGCCCGGCCCATCTGGTGCAGCAAATGGCCCAACTCACCAGGGAGCAAGGGGAGTGAGAGAGGAGGAGATGGTGAAGGGGGGGAGAAAGAAGAGGGAGGAGGGGGGGATGTTGGATTGAAAACAGATCAGCAGCCAGAAGATCTCAACACCACCGCATGTCTCTGCTGCAACTGCCGAGCGAGTCCACAGCGCCTCCAGTTCCAAAACTTTACGCAGAAACAACAACAAAGCCTTTACGCGTCATGTTGGTTTGCTGAAAGGCGCGCAGAGCACGCACACAAGAGCGCACCTCTCGGAGAAGATGGATTGTAAGAAAAAGTTCGAGTCGACTTGTGCTCCGCTCTGAGCCGCTCTCCGGGACGGCGGGGGTGGGAATGCCGTGCAAACTTTGAGCGTCTCGACAAAACTTTTCTCAACTCGGTTCATGGAGTTTCGCGTCAAGTCCGAAGAGGCTTGTTTGCGCGTTGTGCGTTCAATGGTGGTGCCAGCTCAGTCCTAGTTCACGGGAATCAGACAAGCAGGCAAAGTTTTCCTCGGACAAACAGAAGAGTGAGTGGAAGAGCCTCGGGTTGGGAGTGAGCGAGGACGGCAGTGAAGGTAAGGGGGGGGCTTTGTGGTGATGCTGACAGCGGCGGGGGTTTTGGAGAAGCGGTTTTAATTTCGCCTTTTGGTTCTGTGTTTTCGCCTCTTCGGCTCTTGTGTTCACACTTCGGGGTCGTTAAAAGTGTTTCCCTGGTGCGTTTTCTCCTCCTCTCCCCTCTGTTCCTGCTGCCCTGCGTGTCAGCGGCAGATGAGGCTCAGGGGCAGCTTCACATCTCATTTGCACTTTGAACTTATCTGACACAGGAATCCAAAAAATTTTTGGTCCTGCAACTTGATCCATATGGGAAGAGATGCGATCAGAAAGCTCGGCGCCAATCCCTCAACAACGCTTTTAATAGTTCACAAACTCCTGTAGTGTTTCTGTTGGAGGCTCCAAACTGTGGAGCTGCTTTTATGGTGAAACCTTTTTTTTTTAATCCAATAAAATAGCCTGCAAACTTAACTTTAAGCACATTTTCCAACATTCTTTTTTTTCTTTTCAAGACTTAAATGTAAAACTTTAGTCACACTCACCCACACACTTTCTCACTTTTGGGAGCTCTTCACTTTTTTTAATCTCTTAATGCTACAAAGCAGAGGAACAAACAGCAGGCAGAAAGTGCAGTAGCAGCAGCGTGGACACATTGCTGCCTGTGACAGGGCTGTGGGAGATGTGTACTTATTGTTGAAAGATTCAAAGTTTGCTGTTTGCTCTCCAGCCTGAGCAGTCAACAAACACTTGACGCCTTTGTGGGGCCCTTAAGCAGCTATATTTGCTGTTGGCTTTTCCCCCTATCTAACAGGCGCTGCTAATGATCTCCAAACTCATGTGTGGACTCCTCTTTTTTGTTAACTTGTTTTGGCCTACATATAAGTGCAAAAAGGGGGCTGTGTTTTGGTTTTCCGTTTAATTCACATTCGAAAATCTAACCTTACTTGCATGACCTTTTTTTTTAAGCACACTGATGAGAAGCAGACCTAGAAAAGTTTTTGGGGGTTTTAAGAAAACTTTAATACATGTAAATAAAAAAAAAAGGAATGCATGTGTGAAAAGTTTCAAATAATAACAATATCCCTAATCTTGCATGTGTGTTTTCCGCTTCACATGATGACAACCCCGGTCAGGGCTGAGGGTGATTTGCATGAGAAAAAAAAGAAAAAGTTTTAGTGCATTTGGCCATTGTGAGGAATGAAGAGTTCCAACAGTTAGGGCCTACGGAGAGTGAAAGGAGTAAAGAATGGATGAGCCTATTCAGCTCATTCAGCCTCAGTTCGGGGGCTCCGCTCTGCAGCGTTCAGAGACCCATAGTGGCCATGTCACTTTCATCTCCACAGCCCGGCCCCTGTTGTATGTACGCTGCCGTAGCCCCCGTTTTCACACATCGCCTCCGTGCACAGGCCCCACTTTATTGATCTGCCTCCTCTTTTTTTTTTTGCCTCTTTTCTGGAAGTCCACAGAAAATTTAATGAACCAAATACTGGAAAAGGAGTGACTGTGTGTGTGTGTGTGTGTGTGTTGGACTGAGGAGGAGGAGGAGAGGGTGGGAGAGGAGGAGGAGGAGGAGGAGGAAGGGGGGGGTGCAGCTTTTTTTGAAAGCAAATACCGATGAAGTCTAGCGTACAGGGACAGAGAGGAGGGTTAGAGGAGAGGGTGAAGAGGGTGAAGTCTGAGTGACTCTGAGGAGGGGGGGGATAGCACCCCACCACTACCACAACCACCCACTCCTGCTGAGTAAACTCAAAAGTTGGGGGGAAAGTAGAGAATGCCTTCAACCCCATCCCATCCCGCAGCAACCCTCATTCCACCGAGCTGAGACACTGCACTGTCCCAATGAAGCCGCTCAGCTGCCTGTCGCCTCTCGATGGCCGCCGTAAGAAAACGCAGCCTGCGTGGGGATGCGGTAGGTAGGTAGATGGGCGGGTGGGGGCTGCTTCTGAGGCCTCTGTGGTTCGGCTGAGAAATGTTTGCACTGGAATTTAGTGGCTGTGGATGAAGAGTAGCTGCTGCTTCTTCACTTAAGCACTGTGTAAACCTCTGACCTGCTGCTAAACAGCACAGGAGTCAAGTTTTCTACAATATAACAGAAAAAACTAATCCCATTTATTCTCAGGGTAAAGGCTCATCATCAATGTGTTATTTTGTGATGAAACTGTTTTTTAAGTAACCAGGGATGCATGATGTGCTTATTTTCTATGAAAACAACTAATAAAATCCTGATGATGTGAATGTTTTTGGGGTCTGTAAACAAACAGGCCAGGGTATCTCTACTACATCATTATAATGCTGTCTGTCACACATTTTACCTTGATCAAACAGTGTTAGCCGCAACATGTAAAATATTACTGAAACAATATTAAAAAAGCTCACTACTGTTGAATCTTGAACAGCAGCCAGATGAGTGTTTTAACTGGTAGACTAGGGGTGTAAGAAAATATATCAATAAAAATATCGTATCAGGATATTTTGTGTTGTGATATTGTATCGATTTTTGTCTTTAAACCCCCAAATGCTAGATAGCAGTGATATAACCTGAGGGCTGTGATGTTGAATGTTACAGCGACTGTGATAAATACAAATGCAGATCTCACTGTTCTGGTTGCAAATATAAAGTAAAAAATAAACATTTCTACCATGATTTTATTAAATGGTGGTGCATTGTTTATAGTACAGCAGTAAAATTTGTCTTAAATCTCGATATACCGTCTTGCTGACAGTATCACAGTGAATCATAACCCCTGTATTCCGATATGTATCGTATTGGAAGGTTCTTGCCGATACACAGCTCTATTCGTCTGCATATATCTGCCTGGCTTCAGTTTTCAGACACGTAGCAGCCACACCAGGTTTGAACAGCAACCCTGCTGATTTGCAAAATTTGTAGAAATATACAAAAAATTGCAGCTTCTGCGATTTGTATATTTGCACTTGGCCAAATTGCTAATTATTTATTTATATATATTTTGATGAATTGTGCAGCTCTATAAGCAACTTCTCAATTTCCCTCATTCCCTTCATTTAGTTGATTTCCTCCATTTTCCTACAGTAACTTTGTACGAGGGGCCAGAGAATTAATGTTTGGATGGCTGTAGCAACAAAAAACTGAATGCAGTGCATTCTGGTCTATTGAGGATTTAGACATTACTATCACTGCTTGTTCTGATGAACATATGCAGGTGCAAAATGGCCAGTCTTGCTTTTTGATTCTGTAGGAGTCAAACGCAGACAGCCATGTTGCATTTTTGAGCTCATTTTCATTTTTAGGCACCGGAAACAGGACAAATATTTTGTCCACAATAATGTCAGTGTCAGGAAATATCACATCAATAACTATCTGGAAAGGTTTGTGCGTCAGTCGCTTTACTTTTAAGAAAACGCTGTACACACTGAACTGGGTGTGCAGTTTGAGTGGGATCACACGTTTGTCACAGAGCCATGACAAAGCATTTTATTCATTTCTGTGGTCACTGAAGGGCTGCAGCAGTGATACGTATATCAATATGTTTTCTTACTGATACTATAGTTTAGTCCATAAAAGGCCTGAAATGAATGGTTATTGTCATTGTAAATTAATTTGTGTGCATATATGACAATTACATCTTATCAGACAAAGAGAAAATGGTGAAAAATGCACATCACAATTTCCCAGAACCCAAGATGACGTCTTCAGAGTAGCTCGTTTTGCACAACCAGCAGTTCAAAACTCAGAAATATTCAATTTGAAATGATACAAAACACAGAAATGCAGAAAATCTTCACATTTGAGTACTTTAAAGCCAAGAATCTTCAGCATTTTTGATAAATTGCTTTAAAAAATGACTAAATTATAAATGTTGTTGCTGATTAATTTTCCTTTGATTGACTCGATTAGTCGACTAATTGTTTTAATCCATAAAGTGATGTTTTAAATTAGATAATTGAAATTGAAATTGAGAGAAAAGCAGCTTTAATAGTCACAAATGAGAATCTGTAAGCAGCAAATGTTTGGGCCTTTTAGTGAATAATTTACTAAAATAATAATTAATGGTAATGAATATTATCCTATCATCAGTGATCTGAGTGGGACTTTTGTTGTGGTGTCTCCTCCGCTCTGTGAGGCCTGCGGCCCACAGAGGACGGGCTCGTTGTGGACTGAAGCTTACTCCTGTGCGGGGATGAATTGATGAGACTTTAATGGCCATTTAGGGGGCTGTAAAAGGCGGCTATGTGTCGAGCGATGTGCCATCGCGATCCTTCACAGTCAGCCTGCACTTCAGCTGGAGGGAAAAGTGGGAGAGCGAGGGAGAGATGGCCGCTTACATTCAACTGTAGAGCCCTTCACTGAATCCCGTCTCCTTCGCCTTTGGCATGAGGACGGCACGGGACAATCCCCGCTTGTTTTAACGCCTGTTGTTTCATTCTCCCTCAAGTGTGCGAGGTTAAATAGGCTCGCATCATATCTGGGTTTGGGAGTGCTTGCCCCCCTCTTTACACTAGGGCTGCAATGAGTGGGCACTCGAATCCCAGAACAGAAACCGGGGTCACGCTGGATTGTACCACTGCCGTCAAAAGGACATGCTCACACCGGAGGGCCTCTAAAAACACACATCATTGAGGAAACGCCGCAGAGCCTGATGTGCGTTTAACAAGCCGTTTTAAGGGCTGTACGGTAAAATAACTGACGAGCTCATTACAGGCAGATTGACCTCATCAATCACAGGAGAAATAGGTTGTCTCAGGAATATAACATGTAACAACCCTCTGTCATTCTTTAACTGCAGAGGAAGAAGATCCAGTATCTTCAAAAGGGAGGAAAGCTTAAACAGATTCTTGTATACAGTGTGTCTGTGTGATACATCGTGTGTCATCACCAAAGATCTTCCCATCGCGGCCCAACTGCTCTCACACTCCTTAACTCACACACTGACTCATCGGAAACCCAGTTTCCCAAAAGCATTTCAGCGGTAACATCATCATTGTCTGTCGGCTTACAAAGGAACAATGGTGCTCGTAGCTCCGGGGTCTTCTGGGGGAACCC